TGTTACGAAATTTGAGAAATTTACCTTTAATTTTTTGTAATTCCTTTTTTTTTTTTTTTTTTTTTTTTTTTGGTAACTTCCTCTTCTAAACTTTTAATGCCACAGTATCTTTTTGATATTGTTTCACAATCTTTGAAGCTCTTTTTATTTTTGTAAATTATTTTTTCTCTGTTGTTCAGATTATATAAAACTCTTCAGGTTTACTGCTTTGTTCCTCTGTAATTTCCATTCTAGTTGAGAGTTTATCTGGTGATTTGGGGGGAGGGTATATTTTCATTGTAATTTTGATTTTCATCTTGAGTATTTTCATTTGGTTCTCTTCGTAGCTTCCATTTCTTTGGTGAGGCTTTCCTGTTTCTATTTCTTTCAAGAGTGTCGCCCTGTTTTTCCAATATCTATCAAAGAATTAAGCATATTATTCCAGTATCCATGCCCTCTTGCTGTTGCCCTCTGTTGGTTTTGTTTTCCAGGAAGTTCAGATTTTCCTGGTTCTTCATGTGCCTAGTACTTTTTTTCACTATATTCTAGAAAAATTTTATAAGACTCTTGAGTCTTGCTTAAATCTTATGGAAAGTATTGTGCTTTTTGTTTGAACTGGAATTGACTTATTTGGATTTAGCCGGAAAGTTCCATCCAGTATTCCTGGGTGTGGTTTTAATGTCAGTTTTGTTTACAAAGTTTTTGTAGTGCCATTCAGATTTGTGCCATATGTGTGCCACCTGGTGGCCAGTCTGGAACTTGGGTGGTGGTTTGTCCGTAGTTCCATTTTCAAATGCTTTAGTATACTGTTTAGGATCAAATCCACGCACATGGACACTGATCAAAGAACCAGGAGGTTATAGGACACCTCCATGGATGGCTTTCTTAAGCTCCTCCCCTTCCGTGAGCTCCCAATTACTTTCCAGTCCCCTGAAGATTCTCCTTTATAGTAGCTGGACAGCTTTTCCAGCTGGAGAGAATCCCCCAACACACAAACACGTAAGGTGTTTTGTGCCTGTGGGCTCTCTGCTACACCACCTCTCACTGCAGAGAATGCCTTTGCTTTTTATCAGTCTTGACCTAGGAGACTTCTGGAGCTCTCTCTGTGCTAATCTCACCTTTAAGCTTTTCTCTCCAGACTGAGAAAAAAATAGGAAATTTACCACTGCTCACATAGTACTTAAAATTCTGTTTTTGCTCTTCAGTATTAAGTCCCTGAATTGAAGAGCATTATTTATTTATTCTTCCAGCACTGTTTTTATACTTTTCTATGTGGAGGTCTCATACAAATTTGTTAAATTTGTCACCAAGACTTCATGTTTTTGATGTACATGGTATTTTAGAATTCATTTTCTAATCATTCACTGAAAGCAAGCAAAAAGAACTAGAAATACAATTGATATTTATGTATTGCTCTTATATCTTGTGAGCAGACTAAGTTCACTTCTTAATGAGAGCAGATTATGTAGATTTTTTTAGGATTTTTATCCATATATAATCACGTGGTCCACAAATAAAGATGATCTAACTTCTTCCTTTCAAATTGATACGCCTTGTGTTTTATTCTCTTGCCCTTTTCCACTGGCCAGTATCATCAGTACCATGCTGAACAGAAGAAATACTCTTCAGTCCTCACTCCCATTGCATACATATAACTGTGCGTGATATTAGGGTAATGTTTTTATAGGTGCCTTTACTGGATAAGTTTGCATCTATTTATAATGTAAGAGTTTTTATTGTGAATAGGTCTTGGAATTTGTAAATTTTTCTGCCTTTTAGGAATAGATGCTTCTTCTTTTGAAATCTCTTCTGTCTTCTCCCTCCTCCTCTCTTTACATCTTTTTCTTTTATTTTCTTCTATCCTGTTAATTTGTGACTTACATATTGATTTTTGACTTTTAAACCAACTTTGCATCCCCCAAATAACCCAAGGATAAACTGGTGGGTTTTTATAGGAACTTTCACTTTTATGATCGTAGAGGTATTGTTTTGTGGTTATCTTTTCTTATACTGCCGTTTGCTTGTTATTAGGACAATGCTGGTTTCAGTAAATACTCTTTCTTCTTTTGTTTCTGAAACAGTTTGAGTAGGACTGATATTTTTTCCCTTAAATATTTGATAAAATTCAACTGTAAGTCAGTCTTTGTAGTTTTCATTATGAAAAGGTTTAAATTATGAGCTCAATTTTTTCATCAGTATAAAGTTAGAATTTTTATTTCTTTTTGTTTCCATTTTAGGAATTCATTTTTCAGTAAAGTTGTGTATTTTATCTACAGTATCATAAATATCAGCATGAAGTTTTTGTGTGTTCTCTTATCATTTAATATTATTTTAATTTTGGTATACCTTCTAGTGATTTAATTTTTTTGTACTAAGTTGTGCTTTTTGTCTTTTTTAAAAAATCTTGCTAAAAGTTTGCCAATTTTATTGATATTTCAAAAGGCCAACTTTTTATTTAATTTTTTATTGTTTTTCAGTTTTTTATTTTATTGAATTCTACCTTTATCACTTTGTTTTGTTTCTTCTCACTTTGAGTAGTTTTTGATCTTTTTGTTTCTTCTTAAGTTGGGAACTCTGACCATTGATTTTAAACTTTTTCTTATGTAAATATTCAAGACCATAACATGCCTAAAAGTATTTTAAGTGTACATTTACTGTCTCTGAAATCAGAAGGCATCCTATATTCAATAACATGTTATAATTTTTATTAGTAAAAATTACATACAGTAGGGATGTATCTTATGATCAGTGGTATCTAATGAAATTGCATACTATACTATTCTTTTGAACCTTGGTTGTCTACTAATTACTGAATAAGGGTTCTTATATAAAGATACCTGAGGAGTCATAACTACTTTCTACCTGTGTATGGCCATTACTTAAACTTTTTATAATTTGAGTATCTGTACTTTATCACTTTGTCTTATCCTCGAAATTGAGGGCTCTGTGAGAGCTATTTTAAGATTCTTCAAAGTATTTATGTGGTGTAATAAAAATATGGTGCATATTTAAAATTTTAAAATTTATTACAATAAAAATCACATCACCATTGATCCCCCTCATGGTAATAGCCATAACCCTAACCCTCGCCCTAAGCCTGGCTCCCTGTCACCTATGCCATCATTTTTACCACTGTCATGTGCAGTCCTGAAGTTGCATTATCATTGCTACCTGCGTGTCCTGAATCGATTCAAAACATTTATGCTTCACAATCATTCTGACTTTACAGAAGAGCCAGGAGTTTCCTAGTGCCAGGTCTAGTGGGTAAGGTGGGTGAGGACGCACGGTGGCGTTCCTGTGAGCCTCTTTTGCTGTTGGGTGGCACGCGGCAGCTGCACCTTTGATCACACCTCATAGAGATGTAATCGACACTTCCAGAACTGCTGCAGAAGGCGGCAAGAATGGTGCCACAAGCTAGGGGACGTATCTGAAGGGAGATTAATGATAATATGTCTCTTACTGCCATAAACAAATAAATATTTACTGTGGATTTTCATCACTCCTCATAGTTGAATGCTCTGCACGCAGGTTACACAATGTTTGTGGATTAAATAAATAAAAAAAGAGATTGATCATGGAGTTATAGGAGCCCCCAAAGCAAAGGTCACTTAGGGGTTTTTGACTGTGTAGTGTGTCAGAAGAAGTTGTCAGTATGACTATGCTGTTGGACAGTTTTCTCCGTCAGTGAGCTATCAGGGTACAACACTGTGCTTTTCCGCTTAAAACAATCCTCTTTGTCATTCTCCTATGATCTTTTCCTATGAATTGCTGTGTGTTGTTTGTTTACTTGGACATATATCATCTTTAGGTGTATTTCTCACTATAAATTAAATATCTAAATGCTTATTCTGTATGTGCTCTTCAAGTTCCTTTTGGGTCTTACCTGATGAATGTTTCCTTTAGAACTCTATCTTTGGATTTGCTAACTGAATGAATTAGGTCATAAAATGATTTCTTCTTGTGTCTTTTGCCCTTCCAAATGCCATTGTTTTCATTTGCTTAGCAGACTCCCTGGCAGGGTGTTCTACTGCAGAATTCTGTGGGGCTTCAATCCTTACACAATCTCTCCAGCCTTAGCAATACAGATAAGGGTTTGGTTTTGTTTTTTACTATTTGTTTGACTTCCTTGTGATAGGGAGGTTACACTGAATATGTATTTAACATAGACCCTGACCTCAAAGCCATTCCAAGGGAAAGTGACTGCTGAATTCTGAGCTTCCTTGTAACACTGCTCAAGGAGAGGAAGCTATCCGCTACCTTAAAGTGGGAGAAGTTCACTGTACCTTCCCTGCCCTGCTCAGAAAGCCCCAGGCTCCTGTGGGCATTGTTGCTGGTGCAAGAAATCAGTGTGCAAGTGTGTCCTTTAAAATGCCTCTGGCTCGTAGTAAAGGAACGCTCAGATGAGGAAGCTTAAACACTGAAGGCTAACTCATTTTAATGAGAAATTTGAAGTTGAACAAGATTCAACTCAGGTTGGTGAGGTGATCTAGTGATTTTAGGGTTTTGTCAATATTACAAGGCCTCCCTAAACATCCTGCTCCCGTGGAACATTCAGCCTAGAGGGGGAACAGGACTTTCTCGTGTGTGTGTGTGTGTGTGTGTGTGTGTGTGTGTGTGTGTGTGTGGTGTTCCATCAAAGTGGAACAACTTTCTTAATAATCCCATGTACCACCTCAGGTATTTCATTGTCCAGGAAAGCTGACACTTTGAATACTGAAGTGCTATCCTGAGCGGCAGGCTCTTACAGTAAGGAAGGGTTAGGATGAGGATGAAGAATAGGTGTTGGATAAGCAGTCAGCAATATTTACATGGATATATGTATGCATTTTAACATAAAAGAGACAGAAGAGTTAAGACTTTTTAAAAATACTGATGAAGTTTCTTTTTCCTGTGTAAAGTGGTATATGGTCTCATAGCAAAACTCTGGATAAACAGCTACAGTGCAGCATGATGATAGCATTTGAACTAAAATTGCCTCTGTTCCCTGTGATTTTCTTGAAATCTTGGTTTTATGATTTCAGGTTGAGTCCAGAAATCTTCCTTAAACGCCCAGTAGTTGAAGGAAATCGTTGGAGGTTGGACTGCATTCTTAAACGAAAAGCAGTATGTATTTTCTCAACAAATGTTACACATTTTCAAACGTGCATTGCCTCTGAAATGCCTTTTCTTTGCCAAAGCCTTTCATATATACTAACAACTTTTCATTTTAGAGTTTGACCCAAAACAGGGTAATTACGGTTTTTCACTCATTGAATTCTTTTTTCCCTTCTCCTTTTGAGTACATATGTATATTTGAGCGTAATTCACAGCACAATTTTTTTTATTTTGAAAAGGCAAAACAGAAAAAAAGGATAGAAACAATACAGAATTTCAAAAAAACAGTACAAAATTAACACTAATTAATGTATTTCATAATGTTATCTTAGAAATAGTTCAGGTTATAACATTTAGGCACAAAAAAATGATCAAACACTCAATGAAAGTACAAACTGTTCTTTTGGATGAACCAACAGGGATAGTATAGTTGTCTATCTTGTATATGTGTACATACACACATATATACCTACATACATATCATCTTTTCCCTTCTTGCTTCTCTCCTTTCCCCTATCCCAGTTGTTACTTCCTTTTGAACACTTTCTTCCCCTTTATCACAATATCTATTATACATTTTGGATCTTATTACTCTTTCAGTTTTTTTATACTAGGGAGAAAATACAGTATTTACAGACGTTTGAGTTTGATTTATTTCACTTACGAGTATGGTCTCAAGTTGCACCCATTTACCTTTAAAAGCTTCGAGTTTATCCTTATTTATAGCTGAGTAATATTCCCTTGTATAAAAATGCCATATCTTTTTTATCCATTCTGTGGTTGATGGGCATTTGGGTTGTTTCCAAGATTTAGCTATTATAAATTGTGCTACTATAAACATGAGCGCATCTATATTGCTATAGCATGTTGTTTGCAGTTTTTCTAAGAAAATTTCCAGAAGGGGAATAGCTGGATTGAATGAGACTTCCAATCCTAGTTCTTTGAGCAATCTCCACACTGATTTCCACTGTGGCTGTACCAGTCTAACTCCTACCAACAGCGGAGAAGGGTTCCTTTTCCTCCATTGCCCCACATTTGTTATCAGATGATTTCTTGATGTAAATTATGAAATGCTTCATGAATTTGCCTGTCATTCTTGTGCAGGGGCCATGCTAATCTTCTGTGTATCATTCCAATTTTAATATATGTGCTGCTGAAGCGAGCACCACAGCATGGATTATATTATATTTTTGTTAGTTATGGCCAGTTAATTTTATAGGCAATAAAATTATAATAACATTTCATCACTGAATAATAAAAGGTGAAATGAAACATGGTCTCAGTCAGATGTGCCCAACCTGATGTAGACTATCAGAGAGGGAGGCCTAGAAGAACTGGTGGTGTTTGATTCGAATTTTGGTATCATGCATAGTAATAACGTGAAGCATTTCCTGTACAGCTGGCCCTGTGGATTCTGGGTTGGCCTTGCATATGTGCTTTTTTGTTGTAAAACATAAATAATTGAAGCAGTATAGGGGAACTAATAATCTGTTCATAATGCTAATTAATTCTATATATGTAATGCATCTTCAACCAAATTAAGTTAAATTGGATTTTTTCATTAATGATGTCCAAATTAGGGAGTGATGACATTTTTGCTTGTTTGAAACCATCTTAATCTTTTAAAAATTTTTAAAAGTTTAAATATTTTACCTACCACATGTATAGATCCTGGGTAATTGTAGGTTTGCATTTCCATCTCTCGCATTCACTCATTTCTTTTCTCCATCCTATATAACCTGTTAGCTCTTTTCCACTTTCTTTCTTTCTTTGTTTCTTTTAGTGTTTTTTCCCCATGCCTTTGTTTTAGGATTTCAACCAGTATCCATAGTCAAATCCTTCTGCTCATACTGAGAGCAAAAGAAGTTGATAGTCTTTATTTCACACCCATGTTCTCATTTTGATGGATAATGCAATTTATCCCATTTACAAAATTGAAAATTTTAATCTTGAAAAGTATGCTCTACATAATCCTTAAACAATTTGGTATATACTTCCTGCGTATGTCCTGTGAGGTAAATGCTGCATGAAGCACCAGGGATGCCACAGTAAATGGGAGTCCGGTCTGCTCCTGGAGGGTTTACTGAAAGACTCATGTGCTGGGCTCTAACATACCCTTACCAATTTCCTTTCTAACAATTGAATGGGCTGTGCTTTTCATCATGTTTTTCTCTGTGAAAAGGTACCTTTTCCATTCCTCCTCAAGATTCCATCTTAGTAAGTTTTTCCAATCTGGTCTAGCTGTCTTCCCTCATACTATGAAACCTGTATCTCATAGTATTTTTAATATGTCACTGTTTTAATTTTCAGTCAACATTTCTTGAATGCCTACTGCCATATGTGTAGAAGCTTGGCTAATTATGTGAGTTGATGCATAAATAAAAACTATAATGCCTGAGCTGATGGTGCTTAAAAATCTATCAGCAATACGGAGTGAGCGATCGGATTCCAAGATAGAAGGAGGAGAACTGAACAGGTCTGGTCAGAAGCCCTTTGCGCACAAGACATGGAAGGCTTTTAGGGTATGCAAACGTTTTTACAAGGAAAGGAAAGAATTTCTAGGTGTAGTAACTGCTGAGGGAGCTGGAATGAGGCTCTGTCAGTCACTGTGGTGACAAGATTTGCTGCACCTGAGTGTTAGCCGGGACTCAGGCTGGGGAAGTTGGTTCAGGAGGGAGCCAAGCAAGCGAGTGGCACTTGACGTAGTAATGCACAGTAGTAAACATTTTGTGGAAGTGTGCAGGGGAGGGTTGTGCTCTGATTACAGTGGTGTGTTGAGAAGGTGAATACGGTAGTGATGAGGAGAACTCAGTTTCAGAAAGTGACATTCTGGATCCCTTGCGTGTGAGGTGTCTGTACGACACCTACAGAAGTTCAATGCCCAAACAGACTCAGGGGCCTGGCCCTGTTAACAGATAGGTGTTTGTCTGCGCCCTCAGGTCCCTGTGTGGGCTCCTTTTGTGTCACCAGCGTGGCTTCTCTTCGCTTTTGTTGCCCATGGCGAATATCAGGGATGAGCAAACATTGCTTAATAACGTTGCTTCTTTTCCAGTTCATCCATTTTCTGAAGATTGGAATTTTTAACTTGTATGTAGTGCTGTTTTAAAAAATTTCTTAAGGAAATAGTAATGCCATTAAAAATTAATGTCTCAGTTGTACATTTAGTGAAATGTTCTCCCTTAATCTCAATGTACCGTGTTCTTACTTTGGCCATAAATTTTTAACACTTAGATAGTTCCAATTTGACATTTCATGTGCACATTAACACTGCTTCACATGAATAATTTAGTTTTTGAAAGCTTCATATCAGCTTCACAAAGTATGAGGTTGAAACATAATATTTATTTTTATATTAATGGGTCCAGAGGTCCACAAGGTTGATTAAAATGAATGTGGTTTTTTTTTTTTTCTGCCATCTTTTTGTGCAGATTTCTTGAGAGGAATTTAGAAAGTATCTTTACTGTATGACTAACATGCAGGCAAATATCTTTTGTGATGGCTACTTCTTAGGAAAGAATATAATATTTTGGTCTTTGGTAATAACCACATTGATGCTTTCCTGTTTCTTTGGCTTCCTGACATGCAGTATGTACCACCAGTTAAAATAGCATATGACAGTATTGAGAGGCATTTGCTTACAATCCAAAGAAATCAGCATTCTGGGAGTTTCCATAGCTCTACATTTGCAATACTAAAAGATGATGACATAAATTGCGTACTTGCTGGTAACTGTACCCCCACACCCTAATTGTACATTTCAACTTTAGAAGTATGTGGCATCTCTTATGAGACTTACAGTAAAAGCATGTCTAGAGGCAAGAACCTGGAGACTTACAGAGAAGGATTATTGTTTTTCGGGCTGAATTTGACTTCAGGTTGGTGTCTTTTTCTCTTGTACCACGAGGCACACGCAGAACTGCAGCAGTGATCATTTATGTTTGAAAAACTAGATAGTCACATATCTGTATAGAAAACCAGTGGAATCTTATCAAAGCACTAGGTTAGGATGCTTTCGGGAAGGAAAAGATATCTTTAACCTTTAAGATTTTGCTTTAAATAAAATTAGTTTTAAAAAAAGGAAATGTGAACATTTGTGCTGTTATATCTCAATACCTTTTGCCTTTAATTGATGATATCATATCTTTTTATACTTTACTTTTCACTTTCTAAATATACCGGGAAATAATGTGGAAATGATAAAATTAGTGATTACCCTGGGGTGGGAGTATGTAAGTGATCTTAAAGCAGTGAGCAGATTTGGCTGTATTCAGAAAATATTTAAACTATACCTCCTTGCATAATCAAATAACAAGCTAGATAAGAAACAATCTCCTTGGTTTCCACTCTAATTTTTGAAAACTTTTTAATTGCCTTCACATCCATTCTGTACATATAACTAAGGATCCTACATATTCCTACTGTTTAGCATGTTGTGTCTAATCTATTTGATAAGAACCCAGTTAGAAAAAAGAAACTTCCTCTTTTAAAACTCATGATTCATGGAGTTTGTTCCTGGAGTCTTTGGACTGACTGGGTTCAGCAGAAATAGAAAATACAGCATTGCAGTCATCTCCAGAACTTCTAACCTTTTTCTTTCCCTGTTAAAATACTTCTTCACCTTTGCCAAGCAAAATATCATTTCTCTAGACTCACCTAAAGGCATTAGTAAAATATGGAATGCTTCAAAAGGTATTTTTAAAATTATAGAATTAATATCAATCCCCTTTTGGGCGAAATGTGGCTTTGATTTACACAGATATTTCCTATTTAAAAAAGATAAGATTATACTTTCACAACAAAGCAAATGTCTATGCTTGCAAGGAATAAGTTTTCTTTATCCTTTATAGAGTTTATGATAGTTTTCTTGTACTATGACCCAAAGAAGAGGAAATTACTGTTTAATTTTTACAGAAATGTTATCATTAGTTAATTATTTATTTTGGCTATAGGTATAAATCAATAATTGTAAACCATATTGAAATAACTTTCATTATTTATTTCCTTATTGGTCATTTGCATTTAAGATATAAAAGAATTAATTGTAACTTATTTCCTTTAGACTTAATATTTACATGAGAAAAGACAGTGTAGAAGAAAATGTCAAGTAGTAATAAATGGAGCATAATAATGTAACCTGTTAGTGCTAACATCTCTATTATTTCAAAAGCCCACTAGTTATGCAGATAAATGAAAAACTGCAGAATTCAGGCCAAGTTCTTACTTTGCAACTAATGTCGTAAATCTAAGAAGCAGAATTTCATTCATTTAAAGCAAATGAACTATGGTGAAAGATGTCAAGTGTAATGTTCTGTAATTTAAGCTGAAATTTGGGCTTAAACTTTGTGTTGTATTTTATGAGAGGCTTTGAGGGTCCATTATTCAGGTCTGAATCCTCAACCACTCAAATAGCAAAATAGATCTACACATACAGCGAAGAAAATAAGATAATCGTCAAGTGTTTTTTTTTAAGAGTCCCCATTCAATGGCTCCTTCTAGAGCACTCACTGGGCCAGACCATCAGGCATGAATCTGTATACTTTTAGTCTCTACTTCACTTCCTTCTTTACTCAGAGTTGCTTCTACAGACTTAATTATAGCAGTGGTTGCATAACTGTAATGAGTTCCCAAAGCTCAGCTGTTATCTAAAAAACATAGAATGACATTTATCTTCTTTTTGATGCTGTTTTTCTTTTCAGAGCAAGAATGAGTCTTTTAGTACTCAAATCTTTATGTACACCAGAATATAAATCTAGCATCCCTCAAAAAATGTATACACTTTTAGATTACTGACATCAGATGGTAAGATAGGAGTATTTTAAAGTGATATGAATTTCAGGGCCAAAACATACTTCTTAGTTTGGACAAAATAATATTAGGGAACTATATGTTTGTTCCAAGATTTTATAAACTGTGAACCACTACTTAAAAATATTAACTCCTGTTTTATTTCACATTGCATAGCATTGCAAAAGTAATCAGTTCTTATGCATGAGTTCAAGCCAGTTGTAAGACTTCTTTAAGTTTTAATTTAAATTTCCATTATGAATAATGTCTAATTGCCATGAATTATTAATTTAAACTGTAACTACATGATCTTTGTTATTATAGTTTATTAGATATAGCTCCATCTGTAATACTCTAGAAAGTATTATGGAAATATTCTTGCTTTTAATCATTAGGATATTAAATGACCAGATGTAATTTAGATACATACTCTGGTATGTTTCTAAATATGTTTCTAAATATGTTTCCAAATGCTTTTAGAGGTTCTAGGCAAAGAGAATGCAAACTTAAGTGTGGCTAACTATGAATCACTACTGAAGGTACAAGTCAAGAAGTGAAATTGTGAACCACAAAACAGGGGTAAATAAATGAGGGATCTTTGGAGGAAACGAGTTCTGTATTATATATTAGGGGTTAGGGAGTTCCTATGAGTGTGCAGGGAGGAGAGGAGTGTTCACATGGGCAATTAGCGTAGACCGAAAACCTGTCGTCAATCAGAACTAGAGTAGAAAATACCAGAGTTTTTTCTATTACCCGTTGTTGGATACCTTTTTGGTGATTAATATTAATAATATTATTTTATAGCATGTGCCAAGCATTTTTCACTTAATTTGATACAGTTCAGTGAATCAAAACAGCCTTGTATATTTTATAATTTTAGATCCTGAGCCAAAAGTTGGATCATTGTTAATTTATGTTTCCATTTTATACTAAGCTTCTGCTAAAACTCAGATTTTGAATGTTAGAGAACCTTACTTTACAGAAGTCCCTTTGCCAGGGAATAGATCTTAGTCATCCAATTTTGGGTTAAGAGGATAAACTGGCATTCATCTTTGAAAATTAAGAAATGTTTTTTTCCACCTAAATAATTTTTTTCCTAAAGAAAAATTCTATGAACAATGTCCGTGATATATTTGCAAAATAGTTAGTGTAAGTTATTGCATAAAAGTTTCTCATCACTGTTATTTCAGCTAATCAAGGTATACTATCTGTCAATAAAGAACTCTGATGCTATCTCTTGACCCAGGTGAAACTTACTGACAAATGTTTTGAAATGTTAGACTTTGTAAAACAACTGAACACTTTCAACAGTGAATGTTACCGTTTCAACATTCGAGATCTATGTAACCAAATATTGATAACACAAGACATAAGAATGGAAGGGAGATAAATTTTTGTTTCCTTGTGTTTGAATAGTCACTTCTTTGTATTGCTTTCTTATTAAGTATTTTGTTTTACTCATGTGTAGAGGAAAGAAAACACACCACAGAGGAAGGAGGAGGAAAGGAAAGCCATAGCCCTTGCAGACGCTCTCATTTCTCCATGTGTTTTTTCTGTTGACAGCAACAAGGGGTGCAGATCTTCATAATGCTCTACAAAGAGGTGGAGCTCGCTCTGGGCATTAATAGTGAATACAGCAAGAGGACGTTGGTGCGGCTACACCCCAACATCAAGGTATCCATGTCCGTGCTGGTGACCAGTGATTCGTGATTCTGTAGCAGTCTCTCAAATGTTGCTTTGGGTAGTCATAATTTATGGACATGCCTAATGTATATTTTAATTAAACACCACTGAGCCCTCAGTAATAAAACAAAGTCCTGTTTTCTTACACTGCTTACCTTGGTGAAGACCAGTGATCTCATTTTCTTTCCTGGTCCTAAGTGAAAGTGATAGTTTACCTAAGAAAATGTTCTTTACAGTTGTTTTAGTATTTAGGAGCCTTGTCAAGTTCTCAGACTTATTATTAAAGTTATCCTGGAACCAGTTAGATATGATATCCCTATGAAAGCCCCTGACCAAAGCGGTAAGAGATTTCCTATAGGATTCAAAATGCTCTTATGGTTTTTTTATTGATAATACTTACTATAAAGTACTAAGTATTTTATGCTGGTGAACACCTGTAATTTCAGCTCTCTGTGACACTGAGGCAGGAGAACTACAAGTTTGAGTCCAGTTTAGGCAACTAAGCAAGCCTCTGTCTCAAAAACAAAAGCAAAAACATTGGAGACAACTTAAAAACAATTTTTGAAATTTCACCTAAAACCTGAAACCTGTCAATCAGTATCAGCCAGCTATTGTGATGTATCACAATTTAATGAATTAATAAATCTCCTGCAGGCTTAAAGTATATAATTATGTATTTAATTTGGTTGAAAATACTCCCAGAGGATGAGTCGAGTTGCATTGTTGCTAAACATTATTCGCTCACCAGGTTATTATCCAGTACTGACTGAAGTTGTGATACTGTGATGATTGAAAGCTACAAGAGCAGAGCTGCTACAGAGGCAGAGTTTCTGTATGTTGCCGGAGTTAATGCAGTGTTAATTCAGATTCCTAAATTAGGATGTTAATGTGAGAAAGTAACTACAGAATATTCACAAAAGAAAATGAGATTAGAATTTAAACATTTCACTACAAAAAAACAAAAATCAACCAAACACAAAGTAGACCTAGTGCAAGAAATGAGGGACCAAAAAAAAAAGAGTCATAATACATCTAGAAAACAAGTGCCTAAATGACAGAAGCCCCATTTTATCAACAAATATTTTGAAATGTTAATGGAGTGAATGAACTGCCCAAACAATAGACAAAGGTTAGCAGGCTGAAATAAAAAGCACACACACCCACGCACACACCCACACACAGCCACACTTGTACAGTCCAGCTATGTGGTGTGTGTAAGAGACTCACTCTGGATGCAAAGACCCAAGTAGTTTGAAAGTGAAAGAATGAAAAGGTTCTGCAAAGAATATGCAAAGGATAACCAAACAGAGCCAAAGCAGCTAAGCTAATGTCAGACAAAACAGACACCTGCCATGATTAAAAAAAGGCTGTGAGTCACTTGACATTACATGTTAATAAAATTTCAATACCACAGGAAGATAGAAAATTTATAATCATCTGTAAATAAGAAACCAAGTAAAACAAAATTGAAGGGACAGAAAGCAGTTCTACAGTAATATGAAGGTATCAACTCTCTCCATAATGGATAGAGCAGCCAGAAGGAAGATAATAGGTAATAGAGGACATAACACCATTGGCTGACTAGATGTAATGGACAGAGGCAGAACTCTCTGCCCAACAACAACAGTATGATCATTCTTCTCACATGACAAATGGGTCACTTTAGGACACAGGACATTTTCTAGGAGATATCATTTGCTGAACCATGAGTGAAGTCTTAATGGATTTTAATTGGCAGGTGCCATATAAGCGTTTTCTGATCTTATCAGACTGAAGTTAGAGATCAATAACAGAAGAAAAACTGGAAAATTCACAAAATATGTAAAATTTAAACATGATATTAAACAAGTAGGAAATCACAGTTTACTCTGAAACACAAATGAGAATTTAAAAAAAAAGTCTTTATGAAATGCAGCAAAAGTAACATACAGATGGGTTTATAATTATAAATGCCCTAATAAAAGCAGAAGAAAGATATTAAAAGTAAATACAACTTAGAGAACTAGAAAAAGAAGCTAAACCTAAAGCTCGTATGAAGAAAGAAAAAAACATAAGAGCAGAGATAAGTAAGATAGAGAACATAAAAATAATACAGAAAATCAACTAAACCAAAAGTTTGTTCTTGGACAGTTAACAAAAGTGACAACTCTTTAGCTAAATGCATAAGAAAAAAAGGGAGAAAGACTTGAATTATTGAATTCAGAAATGAAAATAGAGATGTTACTCCCAATGCTCCAGAAATAAAGAGGAATTTTAAAAGATTACTATGAATAGTTGTACACTTGGATAACATAGATGAAATGGACAAAACCCTAGAAACAAACTTACCGAAAGTGAAACATGAAGAAATATAAAATCTAAACAGATCTATAAACAGTAAGGAGATTGATCAGCAATCAGAAATCTCCCAAAAGAGAAATGCTCTGGATCCAATGACTTTACTGAGGAAGTCTATCAAAATTTTAAGGAAAATCAAATACCAGTTCTAAAAATTTCCCAAAAATTGAAGAAGAGTTCCCAACTTATTGCTCTGATACCACCAAACTCTATAGTTAAAATGATCGTGGTGGTAAGTTTTATGCTGCGTATATTTTACCACAATAAAAACTGTATTTGTCAAAGTTTTTGGACTCTTTCTACTCAGACGAGGGTCTTAGGAAATTTTGTTTCAAAGTACACAGGGCCAATTCCGCTAAATACCTTTCAAAGAAAGAGCTATTAAAATATCCGTATATCTAGAACCAGGTGTTTCAACCCCAAGGCTGCCCAAGCATAAGTATAATTGATTAAAATTGTTTCCATATATGGATGTGGTTAAATATTTTTAGAGTTACTTCCAAAATACCAAATAAAACATGATCCTTTTAGGTGGAAAGGAAAACAACTAGCATGAAGTTGAGTCTTTATCTAATGTGTAACCAAATTTCAAGCTACATAAGGGCTGCTCCAATATGTGATATTTGACTTGGGGGCTTAAGAAGAAGATAGGAGTTATCTTCTTCTAACTGTGATATAAAATTAAATCAGAGGTTCGAGGGGGTTTCTTTATATGTAGCAAAGTTTGTGTTTTCTTTGTACAAAAAAAAAGAGGTTTTCAAGGAGCAAGCAGACCTATTTTAGTATGATGTAAAGACATCTGAAAAAGTATATGTGGGTTTTCTTTCCTCTCAAGGTGATGAGGCACCCAGATCATGTGTCGTCCAGCGTTTATTTATGGGCTCATCATGAGAAACTTGTCATCATCGATCAGTCAGTGGCCTTTGTAGGTGGGATTGACCTGGCCTATGGAAGGTGGGATGACAATGAACACAGACTCACCGATGTGGGGAGTGTGAAGCGGGTCGTTTCAGGACCATCCTTGGGTTCTCTCACAGTAAGTCAGTTCTGCTTTTACGGATTGCTTAAAATGTACATGGTTTGAGTAAATGTGTGTTAATAGTGTGACTGAATGACAGATAGCGTCTCCTTTGAAGGGACAGAACACTGACTCAAACATCATCCCTTGTTTTACCCCAGCCACGCCATCTAGCTAGCATGTAACTTAGCATCTTTCAGTCTCAGTTTCTTCTCGCATAAGAAGAAAGCAGATTCAGTAGAGTTTGCTGTCTCAGACTCAGCGACTTGATTTTCCATTTGAATTAAAGATTTATTTCCTACTTGGGAACAAAGTTCATAAAAATATGTGACAATCAAAATTCAGATTAAAAAACAATGAAAAGTCTTATTGAAATAGCTGCTGGAGAGAGGGATGTACCTCAGTGATACGGCATGTCGTAGGTAAGACTTAGAATTTTCTAAAGACACACAAAAACAGAGCCAACCCACTCTGGGATCACTTAGAGGGAATTCCATTTCAGCAGAGTTAAAAACTTGTAAAGTACGTGTCAAATGAAAAGATCCTAAAATATTTGTATGTCTATATCCATTTTCTTGTTATTTCAGCTCTCTGGCCACCAAAATATCAGTACACGTCTTAAAATTTTTGATGGACTATATATTATTGCTGAATTTTGTTTGAAAACATCAAGATAGTGAATAGATAATGGAAAATGATTAACAAAAGAATTTTAATGTTTATCCACAAAAGTAGTCTGGTCGCACAACAGTAACTTAAGTATTTGAGGTAAAAGGATAATTAGAGTGGAATTGCAGCAATTTGGCCTGCTGAAGGGGAGCCTCTGCGAAATAGCCTCCATCAGGGGTGGCTTCCTGGAATTCACCACCACCCCGTGCTGACCTCAGACTTGCCGGATGTGTGCTCTGAGGCCGCACCATCAGCAGACTGCTCATCTCTCTACTTGAATTACAAGACCCAATCGAAGCATATCATAAGCAGTGTTTGTTTTGTTTTGTTTTGTTTTCAGACTGCAGGCACAGAATCTATGGAATCCTTAAGCCTCAAAGATAGCAATGCATCTAATAAAAACATTCCCGTGATGAGGAGTCCTGATGAGACAGACCCAAAGCTGAAAGGCATAGGAAAACCGCGAAAGTTGTCCAAACTTAACCTCTACCGGCAGCTCCACTGGCACCATCTGCACAGCGCGGACAGCGTCAGCAGCCTGGACAGTGCCTCCAGTGAGTCACCGCTGTGGCAGGGACCTCTGGATGCCCTGGGTCCCTCTCTAGCCAGCCACAGAGTGCCTGTTTCAAAATCGGTCTTTCTGTGAGTCAGATAAGCAAGGCGGCAAGGTTGTTGTACGGTCCCTGTCAGCATCCTGCCACTTCGTGGCTTCCTCGGCTCCTCTTTATCACATACATTGCTTCAAGCACATAAAGTAGTCCCAATAACCAGTCTGTATTTCTGATTGTAGCAAAATGGCTACAAGTTTCTAGAACATGCTAAGCTAGGAAGGCAAAAGAAAGGTACTTAGATGTACTTTACTTTCTTAGAACAAAAGTCTTGTCTTTCCAGCCAGAAGTATGTCAAGCTTATATCATCAACCATCTGACGTTATATATCTCATAAATTTATTATTCTGGGAAAATCTGCCCTAAAGTCTTGCGGTTTTCTATTCTCTAAGAGTTTATGACTGACTTTTAATCTGGCTAGTTTGCAAAATGATTAAAATTTCCAGTTTAAAAAGCTTGCTATATATATATTTCTTTGTAAAAAGAAGAACTCTCGACTTTCTCCAGGTTATGTTAATCATTATAGAAGCCATCAGAATTTAATCCATGGTTTAAAACCCCACTTGAAACTCTTTCGCCTTTCCACTGAGTCTGAGCAGGGACTCACTAGATCCAGCATTGGTAAGTGACCTGTGAGTGGCAGAAACCCTCAGGCTTCAGCTTTTTTGCAATGTCTGCTGTATGGGTACAATGAATATGTTTCCAGACTGGCTTTCTGTTCTCCACATGTATTATGGAGAGATCGCTCTGTGCAAAGCGCAAGATCCCTATGCCTTGAGGACCTAGAACTTACCTAATAATTGACGCATGGCGTGCACACTGCTCCTGTGTTGTGCAAGGTGTGTTGAAGGTAGAATGTTTCCCCATGTGATGACCCAGAGAGACTTTGAGTAGGCCAACTTGTAAGTGAGATCTGAAAGTCAATTAATTAGTGGGGATAGAATGATATTGGAGGTAAAGGAAATGAGTCAAGCAACAATGCAGGAATGGGAAAAGACATAATAGCTGTTAGTAGAAAATACGGGATTTAATTAAGACTGTTTTTGCTGTAAAACTAGGGTAGTGGAAACATTTGGAGTTTCAAACAGGGTTGGGAAGTGGGAACTTCAGTTGGTTAAAAATGTTGAAGACTAGCTAGACATAGGGGTGAATGCATACCATCCTGGCACTCTGGGAGGCTGATACAGGAGAATCCATTTGAGACCCCAGCCGGCGCAACTTAGTGACTTAGTGAGACACTTTCTCAAAATTAATAATGGACCAGGGATGTAGCTCAGTGTGAAAGCCCTGCATTGAATCCTCAGCACCAAGAAAAGTTGAAATCCTTTGAAATGGAGGTATTATGCTATACACATGTGTGCTTAGAAATTGTAATCTGATAGCCTTTTGTAAGAAGAATCCGATGCTTGAGGATTAATGAATTAATCAGGGCCTACCTTATGATGGTGAGAGTGAACAAGGACTTAGCAAAATAAGGATAAGCAATAACCAAAATAAATACAATAGTAAAATCAGCAGCTAATCCTTATTCTGCACGACTGCCACTGCCTTGAGTGCATGCAGTGCTTAATAGTTATTGCTATCTCCTTTTTACAGATGAGGAAACTCAGAGATAATAAGCAGCTTGCCCGAAAATGTCCCTGTTCACTAGGCTCTCTGCTCAGGATTCAGATTTATGTTTAGAAGAGATGTGATTTGTTACATCGTGACCTTTTGGCCAGAATGCCAAGAGCAGAGTTATCTGTACTCTTCAGGAGATGAGGATGTTAGAGCCCAGATAATGTCCCTCTGTCTGAGTCACCTGTGGATGCCAACTGCTAAGATAGCTGGACTTCGAGCATTCTTTAGTTTTGGTTCCCAGCATTTAAAAAAAAAAAAAAAAAAGCATTGGTTAACTATGTATAATGAACCAAAGCTCCATTATAACTTTTAAATAAATTTATATTTGTTAAGTCATAACAACATTGTTAAACATTTTTAAGTAGAAAACATATACAGGGAGATGTTCTATTTCTATATTAGAGTATAGCTAGTAGTCGATAGGTTTGAGCACCACTCCCAGTAATTCCTGTACTTACCAAAGCTTCAAAATCCTGAAAACCAGAAGGCTCCTGCACAGTCCAGAGGGCCAAGCTGGGCACACAGTTGCAAATACTAAAGGAAAATAGTTGGGAGTGGGTCCAAGGAATGCCTTGCAACCTTGGTGTGTGGCTTTGGTGGTTTGAAACTTGACGTTAAAGATGAGATAGGTGAATGAGACTGCGAGCTCTGAATTATGACCCAGTGTTAGCGCTGCTGACATGGCATTGGGCGTGAATGGAGGAGATGTGAGGCAGGTGCTGAATGCATGAAGTAACTCAGATCATTATCTCTGTAGTGGTGGTCTGAGGCCACGGATGTGTTCAGGTTCTGTGCTTGATGGAAGGTAGTTTGGCATCAATTCGTAATCCCTTCACCAATAAACCATGTGTGAAGCATTTTTATTTAAAGAAAAAGAGGAAGAACCTAAATGTCAAAGTAGGGAAGTGGGGAAGAACATAGTGAGTGGTGTATCCCTTTGATGAAATTGTGCAAATCATTGGAACTTTAACTGGGGATACTAAAATAAGTGTCCAAGACTTATTTGTTTAATAAGTATGTATTGAGCACAACTATAATATGTCAAGCACTGTTCTAGGTACCAAGGATGCAGTGCATAACAGGTCAACTACAGCTAACTAGCTGAGGAATAAACGTGGGAGTTGTATATACAAATATATTGGCAGCCACACTATATTAGTGGTGATAATTATCATAGAGCACAATGGGGTATAAAGGGACTGGTGGAGGGTAGAGCTACTGTGTTTTATAGGGGAGTCACAGAGTGCCGTCCTAATGATGTGACCTTTCAGCAGTGTTCAAAAGCAAGTGAAGAATGAAGGTAAGAACCTGTTTAGCGGAGGTGTCCCAGAGGGAAGGCATAGAAAGTGCGAAGAGTCCAATGTGGGAGGGTTGGTGTGTTTCAGGAACATCTGTGGTGAGATGGGCTGTGGGAGGAGGTTAGGAAAAGACAGAGAGGTTCCGTAAGCACTGAGGCTCCCACAAAAGTCTCTAGATGTGTCGATGTCCGCTCCCGGCCGGCAGGAAGGACACACGACAAAGTCTGGTAGTGGACAACCTTTTCTTTTTATTTTCCTTCTCCGTACAGCCTGCCCTGGGTTCTCCCAGCTGAAGCCTCCTCTGGTCCGCTCCCCGCGGCTCCTTTTGTGCTTCAGTCTGCCCCAAAGCCTCTACCGGTCCGCTCTCCGCGGCTCCTTTTGGGCTTTTACTTCTGGGCTTCTACCTGGCTTCTTCTTCCGCCCAGGGGTGGCACCGGTATATATACGGGTACAGTGTCCAATCATGTTAAAGTAAGCAAGGCAAGCTGATTGGCTAACATCATCAGTTGCCAGGCAGACTATATTGTTGAGCGGGTTGTTTACGCGGTAAGCAGGAAACTAACATATTCGATGGGAGGGGTAATCTACCTCAGGCTTTGCTCTTTACCATAGGCCGCACGTCCACCGCGCAAGGCGAGCTATCACAGACGCGGCTCCCAACATCTCCCCCTATTTTATTTTTTTATGAATGTGCGCATCGTAGCCCTTCCTGGACTGGGTGCAGAGGCTTATGCCCTATGTGTAGGTCCACCGTAGGTCCTTGGCTTAGACCCTGGTTGGCCATGCCATGGTCTGCCAAGGCCCTGAGGCCCTCGTCCTTTTTCTAGGGCCAGGCACAAACTGGACGGAACCTGGATGCACACAAGCTTGCACTCATTTCCTCTCCGTAAAGAAATCCCCTCGGAGAGAAATTTAGACCTGGGCAGCATCTAACAGTCCAGCGGCTTACGTGCAGGATGGGGTAGGGCCTGGCTTAGGTCGAGTCGTGCTGGGGAGGCACGCTCTTACCCGTCATTGACTCACCTACCCTGCTGTGTATTGTCACCTTATGGAGGAGAATGAGGGATGCCCGCCATATCTAGACTCGGTCGTGGGCCAATTGAGCAAGCCATGCATATGCCTGAGGATCTTCTTGTCCATTTCGGGCTACCGCTATTTCTATTTATCTTATTGGTTGGTCTGTGATGGATCTCCAGTAGGGCAGGTCTGATCTTCAGTCGAGGGCTTTGTTGCCCGTGTCAGTCTCTCCGGTATCCACAGTGGTTCCGGTCCCGGTTCCTGTGGGAAAACACAAACCGCGCCTCGGTTCCAGCTGACCACTGGATCCGGGCCCATCCATTGTCCTGTCAGGACATCTTTCCACTTCACCCACCCTTTATGGTTGGGGGAAGGGTTGCAGTGCTCCACAGCTGGGGAGCGATTATCATTATTTAAATTTAAAAAATTGTGTGTGAATAGTGCCATGGATAATCGTGCCTTTGGGGCCAGGCCTTGGCCTACTCCCCCTTTTTGTTTTTGTAAAATTTCTTTGAGGCTTCTATGAGCCCTCTCAATGATTCCTTGACCTTGGGGATTGTATGGGATACCATGTTTTAATTGAACCTCTATCATTTTGCAGAACTCATTGAAGGCTTTGCCTATATAGGCTGGTCCATTATCAGTTTTTAATATTTTTGGTTTGCCCCATGCGGCCCAAGCTGCCAGGCAATGATTGATCACATTAGACACTTTTTCACCTGTTTCTGCTGTTGCGAATATGACGTGAGAACAGGTGTCTGTGGAAACATGAACATATTTAAGAGTCCCAAACTCCTGTATATGTGTGATGTCCATCTGCCAAACATCACCAGGGATCAAACCTCGAGGGTTTACTCCCATCGGTATGGCAGGTTTGTATGTGGCACAGGAGTCACATAGTCGCACGATATCTCGTGCATCTGCTCTAGAAACATGGAAATGGTTTGCTAGTGTCCTGGCATTAACATGAAATTTATCATGGAAGGCACGGGCTCGCTCGATTGGTGTTAGTAAGGTAAAAATCCATAACGGGCGAGTGGCAGTGTCAGCAGCCGCATTCCCCTGTGCCATGGGCCCCGGCAGGGATGTATGTGCTCTTATGTGGGTGGTGAAGACCTTATGGTGTCTGTTCTGAAGCAATGTCTGGATAGACAGGAACAGTCCAGCCACTGTGGAAGTGGATCTAATTAAACTGGCAGTCTCAAGCACTTGCATAGCATTGACCACATACCTAGAATCGGAGACAATGTTAATGGCTTCTGAGAACCGTTCAAGAATCATTTTAACGATCTGCAGTTCTACCACCTGAGGCTGATCTGGTTTAAATTGTATGGTAACCGGGGGCTTGCCTAGGATCACATAGGCGCCTATCCCCGTCTTGGAGCCATCTGTGTATATTGTAGTTGCTAGGACTAATGGCTCAGAGGCAGTAACCTTTGGAAAAATTATAGGGTGCTGAGTGACAAATGACAAGATAGGGTCTTTAGGGTATTGATTGTTTATATCCCCATGGAAAACACATCTCAGAATGGCCCAGGTATCTATGCAGGCAGCCAGGGTCTTGATCTGGCTGGCGGTATAGGGTACTCGGATGGCTTGTGGTCCTGAGCCAAAATGTTGGACAGCTCTATCATGCGCTTCAAGGGCCAATGAAGCGACTGCCTCCGGGTAATGCTCTATGACTTT